GCACTTAATCTCTCTCTCCCTCTCTCTCTTTCGCTCTCTCTCTCTAATAACTGTGTTAGACTGCATTAATAACTGCGTTAGCCTGCATATCAATGGCTCAAGCCTACGTTATTAGCTCTAAAATGACGTTTTGGAATTTGCAACGGAAGGTTTGGGATGAGGTGCGTAAAAAAATGAGCTAGTTCAACACCCACGAGATTTCAGGACAGAAACATGTCAAATGTCTTGAAACAAATCATCTGAACAATTGATGTGTGATTGTGACTCCAGACCGTTAAAATTATTAAAGAAATACTGTACTCCTGAAGTGGTTATGTGGCCACGTTGCCGCGCCTATTAATGGAATGGTCTTTCAAACACTTATTGCGATAGAAAACACTATAACGGTTTCCACTGATTAAGAAATATTTTTGTTTGCTTGGGTGGTAATAGGCCTAATATCTTAACAAGGAAGGGGGGCCCAAAAATTTGTTTTGCCTATGTCACGAAAAGAGGTAAATCCGGCCCTGAATGTACTCCATCTAGGTTGTTTCTATGGCCAGAGATGCTAATAGGTTCTAGCATCCCTGTCACTCTATACAGGACAAGCCATTTGGAAAATTTGGTTGGATAGATTTGTGCAACTCTTCTGAATGACTGAGATTTATCAATGGAGAACCATGCTTATTGTTTTACACATTATTCAAGTCAGTACCTGGGTAAAAAAAAAAAAAGTAGTCAAATGCATTACCATGTTTCTTTAATTAATTCAAATGAGTGTATGTGTGTTATGAATGTGAAACACTACAGCATGGAACAAAACCACAGCCAAGCATGAGCCAAATTAAAGAGATGTCACTACAGCCAATCAACAACCCTTTCACTTTCCTCTACTATCTATAAAACAATTCACTTCTACTTAATTGTGAATATTGTGATAAATGTGAGTAATATGTTGTTATGCAGTTAGTGTATATTGATGCTATATTATTGTAAGTTTTTTCTCATTATTTTATGGGGAAGTCTATGTATGTGTGATTTAATTATGCATTTGTTTGTGACAGCAGTGTTGTGGGCAGCTTGCGTGAGTACTGATGGAGCGCTCTGAATGGGGGAGAGAGACAGACTCGACAGAGTCAGGCATTACGAGTGAGTAAGCACATCATCTACTCCACCTTTATCCAACCTTTTCTCCTCCAGACATGCACAATAATCCCAGCAGTTTACCCCAATTCATTTTTGTCATTTCTGTTATTAATGTTATCCTGTTCATTTTAAAATGTGCAATTTTAGTAAAACATTTATGAAAACTAAAAAAAAAAGATGATTTTGTGTACATACAAAAATATATTTGCGTTTTGCGCGTGGAAATTCTTCTAATTTCATAAAATGTCATCATTCAAGCATTCCAAAATAATATGAAGCCCACTTTTTTTTTTTGTTGTACTGGCCCTTTCAGTGCCACCTTTTGCGATTTCTATTATGCATTTTCTTTGATCTATCATTTTTTTGCTCGCATATCTCCAACAACTGACCTTTTTATTTTTTTTGAGCAAGGTGCCGCTGTCAGGGGAGTCAAAAGATAATTACGTCATCATTAGGGTTGCCAATTAACTTCAGAAATGGAAAAAAAGGGACAATTGTGATTCTTTATCTTTTATTCTTTAAGAAAATAGTGTTTGTTCTTGTATTCTTGTAGAAAATAAGTGTTTATTCTTTAAGAAAATAAGAGACAGAATAAGGGACGCTCCAAATATGTGTACTGTACCATAATGTAGGCTGTCTGCATGCAGGTAAAAAGTTCTCAGAAATAATCACAATTGTTTTGCTTAATTTGTGTACAATTATTCTAAAAATAATTTTTATGTCATACAAAAAATGTCATCGGCCTGAGTAAATTGTAGCCTACCAATATAGAATTGTGACTTCACAAATCACAAGTGTATATAATTTAGGAGGTGAAAATACTGTGAAATTACAAATGGCATGACATTTGAAAGCTGACAACTGATGGTCTATGAAACGTCAGTCAATAAAGCATTTTAAACAATGGCA